GGCGGTGATATATCGAACGATCCCCAAATCAACAAACTGTATACCCAAATTGGCGCTTTGCAACCCAAGCTTGTCAAGACATTAGGTGATGTGACCTGGAAACATCGTAAGTTGAGGCAGATGCGTAGCTAGCGTTGAATCTAACACGATACCTAGGGGTCCTGGTTGAGATGCACGAAAAGATTAATGCGGCTGTGCGAACTTACGACCAACTTCTCGAGCAACGTTTGGCAGGAGCGCAAGGACGGAGCCAGTATACGCCTTACGGGATGTATCACACAGGCATACCTAATGCACCAGCTGCTACGCCTTCCGTAACGCATGCACAGGCCCATCCGTACCAGTCAACGCAGGACTATCCACCTGTTAGTGCGCCGATGTACCCGCCATTCAGCTCTGCTCCAGAAATGACACCAGGTGCGTACGCACCCACAGCGAATGGGTATGGTGGCTCTTCGCCCTATCCCGTCCAGCAACAGCCACCACAGCAACAGCAGCATTACCCGTACCCGTACCCATCCCAGGCTCATCAGTCAACGCCGCAGCAAGGATACCACCACCAGCAACAGCAACAGCAACAGCAGCCGCAGCCGCAGCCGCAGCCGGCACCACAACAACAGGCCAATTTAGATGAACCTCTGATCGATCTTTCTTGAGAAGAATGATTGCTTTTTTTTGCAGAATATACTACACTTGCTTCTAAGTTTATAATGATTATGCGCCCACGTTGAAAAGCATGTTGGAGCCGTCGCCCTTGTTGCTGGGCAAGTAGGTGACATTGCGCGAGGCAGACAGCGTGGCAGCAATATCTTTGGAGGCCTCAATACGACGGAACTCGACAAGGCCCTGACCGGCCTTAGCAAGCGACTTGGAGATCAACTCAGCAGCAGTCGAATCACCCTCGGCGCGAATGACAGCCGCTTGCTTCTCGTGCTCGGCACGCTCGACGACGAACTTGGCACGCTCGGCCTCCTGTTGGGCAATTTGCTTCTGCTCAACAGCGTTGGTGAACTCACGTCCAAAGGTCATGTGGGTGATCGAAACATCCTCCAGGGCAATGTTGAAGTCTCTCGCGCGCTTGTAGAGCTCCTCACGGATTCTGGCAGACACGACCTCGCGCTGGGTAATCAGCTCAGAGGCATCGAACTGAGCGACAATAGACTTCAACACTTCGTTACCGATCGAGGGCAGGACACGCTCATCATAATCGAGACCCAAGTTCTGGTAGATACTGGGGAGCTGTTTGATCTCGGGTCGGTGAAGCACACGCAGGGTCAAGCTGACCATCTGCATATCTACATCATTCGTTCAGTCAGTCTATACCACTGTATCAGCATAATATCACCCTTTTCTTCTTACCTTTGGAACCCGTGGTAGTAGAAATGTTACGGGGCTTGGTACGGACATCAAAATGCACAGCACGCTGCAACCAAGGGACCAAAAAGTGGGTGCCTTCGCCAGCCGAGTCGGGCTTGACACCTTGCACACGGTCGAAAATGACAGCACGGTAACCACCCTGGACTATAAGATACATGGCAATCATGTCAACAATCACTGTCTGAATAAAAAATATAACAAATTACCATCGTACATGGCGGACTGGAGACCACCAACAGCGAGACCCACCGGAATGGCGAGCTTTGCGACCTTTTCGAGAATGGCAGCCATGTCTGTCTGTCTGTGTTCAAGAAAACAAAAACCTCAAATTTTTTGACTGCAGTAGCTTTTTCTGGATTTCTCGCTCCTTCGACTCAGCGAGACAGCTTTTTAATTTTTTTGGAATCGTACATTTGGGAAATATTTGAATATCAGAAGGTGCACCCTCTGCGAGCTTTCCTATTTCCTCATTTCTTGTACACATACAGCCCTCTTTCTCCTAAAATAAATGGGGCAAGAACGACACACCACAGCGGCGAATGCGTTGTCTCGTTCTTGACCGTCACTTGCGCCGGCAGAGGCAGACCTTTATCGTAAAGTATACGTACCAAAATGGGAATTTTTCGTTCAGGTAAAAAGAACCGAAAACATCCGTCCCGGCACCTATATTCGGATGTCTAACTCTGCCTTGATACATGTACATACCTTGTAAGGTACTCGGAATGCGTGAGTTCATATAAATAAAGAGTAAACCGTGCACTTCGAAAGGAACTCAGAGGTAACCTTCTTCACACATTTATGTATGCAAAAGACCGCCTTCAAGATGGACAAGGAAAACCGCCTTCGACAAGCATGAAAGATGTTAACTGATTTGCTGCCCTGTATTTTCTGATATATAACATGTAAAAGATCTTTTGCTCTGCGTATCCACTGTGATACACTCTATATGATCAAGTCCGGCGGCATTTATTTTTGTCAGACTATCTGCAGCTCTCGTAAGGTTTGTTTGAGTGTGGAGTAGATCCTGCGAGAAGTCTCTTCGAGACTCGCGGTGGATGGCCTTTAAAACATCTTGCCGCCAACACAAACGGCGACCTCCAGAAATGCGATGACTGGGCTGCGTTAATATAGGCGACCAGGTGGCGGAGGATGTACCCATAACTACCGCAGTCGTGAACATGATCCATCGGACACTTGAGGTCTTTGACTGTCCTTGATAAAGACCATCAGCTTCCTTGGCTCTCCCGTGGCGACGACGGCCAGCAACAAAAGAAGATGAACGGGGCTGAGCGCGATGCAAATCGATCTCCATAGTATCAGCATGCCGGAAATGACTACGTCGGATTGGTACGTGGCGCAGTCCTTTCGCGCACTCATATGCCGCTTCGTACGCAGTAGCTGTTATATACTGAGAAGCCAGGTTCGCAAGGTTCTAAGGCAGTACATGGAGCCAGGCCTCATACTTCCAGCCGCGGACAAGTGTAGCGCCTTCGTTGGTCATCTCCGGTAGGTCGAGCTTATCTCTCGAAGCTATGTGATATGGTATCGGATGCACTGGTCTTGTTCCAGTTGTAAACGTTGGCGGGCGATTTAGCTGCAATAGGAAGGCTTGAGAGAAATCCCTCCCGCATGATTGTCGACTCTGGATGTTGGCCATGTTGAGGTTACTCCCCCTTTGTCCCGGTCTGACTTAGTAAATATGTGAAGGTGTGATCCATTTCCGTGCTATGCAGCCCAGTCCCCGTGGCATAGTCTTCGCCATATCAGCAAACGAAACACCATCCTCGTTTTTCTTAGCTGTGTCTTCTTATAAGTTCTTAATTTCTTCCTGCTGCCCTTCCGTCTGCTGAAGTAGGGCTTGCATCTTTCCTAACGCGCTGACTCATGTTGGCACTGGTGCTGACTTGTGATGAGTGAAATTTATTCCTGTGATGCTCCCTTCTTCCTTCACTATCGTCTGCTGCTAGAGGAGAACTGATGTTCGTTTTTTTTTTTTTTTTTTTTTTTTTTTTGGCAAGGTAGGAACTTGGTCGATTTGTCTTTTAACGGCGGCGTGGAGCTCTCTCGGCAGGAACTCTCGTATTATGTATGCATGGATGACAGACTTTTTTTGAATTGTCGGTCAGTGTAGTATTAATTGGACAGAGACGTTGCCCGCTGTGACTAGCATCGTAAGACCAAGGAGCAAAGAAACGGAAGAGGAACGAGGATAAGACGATGACTTAATATTTAAGGTTCGTGTATTTATAATTCTCTATGTCTTAGGGGTTGCTGTGGGAAGCGACGGTTAACACAGTAAAAATGTTGGCGGGAAGAGAAAAGACTACAGAGTATTCGGTATCTTATCTACAGAATGGTAGTACTTACCGTTGAGAGTAGAGCTCCTTGTAGTCTTCTTTATTTGCAGATCACAGGTAGCATGTGTGTGTCAGCCAGCATCAACTACCGTTTGATACTTAAAAGCTCGTCCCTGAATGTATCTGTGGTGGGTTTGTCCCCGTTGATTTATTTTGTTGTCTCTCGCGTCTTTCGGTGCGCTCCCTGCGTCTTTAACATGTTGCGATACTGGCAGCCTCGTTACCCGCTATGCCGACATATCTTTTGCCATTCTTTTTCTCTGTCGCCTTGTCATCAGTTCGCCCAACTGAGACGCTTGTGGCCACTTTTGTCATTTTTTCATTTAGGAAGAGCCTTCCTTTTTGGCCTTTCTCTACCATCAATATGCTACGGTGATCCAATTCCACCAAAATAGACCACTTTATCGGATGCTGGTTATGTTCTTTATCTTCACCATTCAACATGCGATGGTTTGGTCCATTATGCAACATGGAAGATCTTTTGTCTTTCAACAATCAAGCGTTTCCGTCTTCTACCGCTTATATTGTTGGCAAATCAGCTCCAGGAAAACTTAATCCATAATTTAATATATACACTACCGTTTCCGTCGAAATTTGTCATGTCCATCGATAACCTAAACCTCTACGCATATTTTTTCTATGTGCGTACTCAGTCATAAGAACGCAGCTTCATTTTCTCTAGCCTCATTCCTGTTATACTATTTTACATCCTTTTTCACACCACCATCGACCACCTTGCCTTTATATATACAGCCATATTTCATAATATAAAACCTCGTCACATTTATAATGAATAAATCGTCTTATTAGACTCTCCTGTTCCTTTGTTCCCTACGTCCCCTGGCCTTGTGTCTGACAGGCAAAAAAATTCCGACAAAATGGCGGTCGAAGCGTATTAAAAAGCAAATGTCAGGAACAACATAAGTTACATTCATACCATGCGATACCAAGCGTACCGCCTCAGGGGGGCTCGAACCCCCGACCTTGGGATTAAAAGTCCCACGCTCTACCGACTAAGCTACTGAGGCAATCTAGATTCTCTGTGAATATGTAACAAAATAGAGGCATTGAACACTACAAGCAAGCTTCATTTATCACCTATCTTCTCTGTCTACGCCGTATGAATAGATCTTGAAATTGTTATTATTTCTGTTATGTCCGGGATATCTCAACATGCAAAAGCTGGAGATAGCTATCAGAAACTACGTAAGCTCGACCTTGTACAATCTTATCCTTTTGTACAATCGTTAATGCGCGGCCAGAACGGCCTCAGTAGCTTAGTCGGTAGAGCGTGGGACTTTTAATCCCAAGGTCGGGGGTTCGAGCCCCCCCTGAGGCGGTACGCTTGGTATCGCATGGTATGGATGTGACTTATGTTGTTCCTGACATTTGCTTTTTTTGATGCGTCTTCACCTCCGGTGAGCTTTTTGGCTGCACGAGATATAGAACATCATGTCTTATTCTTCACGCCCCCAGGGTAGTCATGTCAAATCACAATCTCGGCATGCACATACCGGCCATGCGTGATAACACGATTTCGTCTGACATATTCTCTGTATATCAGGCTCAGACGTACCCCCTTGTACCTGTAGATACAACCCGCTATGACACATACTAGGTGGGGACTAAGGCGTTTTCCCAACGAAACAAGGCAAGTCGGTAGCGCGAAATAGACTGATATAATGGAGTTGAATGCCTTTGTGCGCGAATGGCCGAGAATGTAATATACAAGCAAAAGCAAAAACAGATATAAAAGCAATAATTCTATGTTTTGACGGCGTTATCGAAGTTGGGTAGGCAGCTTCCTGTGAGATAATAGTCCCACTGCCCCGGGTCAGTTGGCTTGCAACTGCACTTGTCACGGTACTTGTCACCGACTGGACAATGCATGACACCGGTATGCCGGTAACCCACATCGTGGAAAAAGTGAACCTCTTCCTTCCGCAACATCATGGCTGCCGCAATAGAATGCTACGCGAGACATATTAGCCAAATGAATGTAAAAAATTGAATACACCAAAGACATACCACGGGAGCGTCGCCCCATCGTTCATAGAAGAAGTTACCGGTCTTGTCCAAATAATTAAAGTACTTGAGGTATTCAGTAGAGCGCCAGAGACTGAAGGAAGCAATCTCAAAATTGGTCCAGAAATGGCACGAATTGTAAGTTTCGCCATCATCATCTGTGATAAATTTGATCATGGAGTCTTCCTTCGCAGGTAAGCGAGCCATCACTTCAGGATGGTCTCTCTTGAAATTTCGTACTGTATCCCAAAGACTCGGTATAGTGGTCATGAATTCTTTGAATGTAAGTGTAAAGCCTTAAGAGAGAAATATACGAGAATATGAGGATAAAGACTCGGGATATCAATGCAACTCATTACCATAGAGCTTTCTGTTGTCCTTCATGAACTGGAAAACATCATAGTCGATGTCACACAAAAAGTCGACATTAGGCTCAACACGCCAGTAGTAATCATATGGGTCGAGTAGAGGATGTCGAAAGAAGAAGCCGCTCTGGAATCTAAACATTGTATAAGTCCCAGATACAGAATTAATTTTAAATAAAGAGATATTAGTACCTGCACATATGTCTGTAAGATTCGGAATCGCCATAAATGACATTTGCGGCTGCCATTTCTTTGCGTCTTTCAGCGGCTAGAGTCTGATTAATGAACGGTGGATAGCCCCACATGTGAGAGTCGAGGGTGCCATAAAACTTTTGAGCTTTGCCAAGCCCAGAGGTCCGCTCTTTGAATTCATCCGTGAATTCCTCGTCGTTGAGAAAGACATATGGGTAGTTGTATTTATCGTTGAATGTCTTTTCGAGCTGTGTAATCGACGAGATTATCCCGTCGAGTTCGCTATTACGCACGAGAATCACATAGCACGCTCGGACAGGTTCGTGGTCGACATCCGAGGTGTCGAGAAAGCTTTTCCACGTGTGAGGCTCATTTGACCTGAACAGTTCGGCTGGACTGGCAAAAAAGTAAAAAGAGATCAACAGGAGGGCAAGCGTGATCGAACCGAGCAGCCCAAGACCAGCATGGCGTCGGTTGAATTTCCAGGACTGCATCGGCAAGCAAAAGCAGCAAAGGTTGCAATGGAGTGTGCAAGGGGTGACCGCGGCGGACAGACAGCAAAAGTTAAATGAATGGGGAACCGAGATAGAGAAATAAATATAAAAATGTTGTATGTATGATACGCTTTGCTGGCTGGATATGAATGAAAGAATCCCCGTAATTGATTCAAAAGAGAACACTACTCTTCTTCCTTTTCTCTTTTCCGCTTTGTTCCTCCTGCCATGGACTCTGCACCTGTCCACTACAACCGTGCAGAGTACATTGAAACCGTAATGGGCACAATGAAGTCGAAATCATTTGCTTACAAGTTTAAGATGATTAGGACACGGGCAACAAGGTGTCGCGGGCATCTGTCATTTGCGGTAGTCAAAACATTATTCTTGGCGGAAAGGTAACCGTAACTATGCTCGGCGTGAACCGCGCGCACGCCTGTGTTTTAATTGTCTTACATAACCTATAAAGACTATCATCCAAACAGACTGTGTCATACGCGGTGATCTGCGCCGAACCGGGGGTGGTCACGCTGTTGTAATTGCCATCGGTCGCTATTGTCTCCTCGCACGCGGCTCTATTATACGACCCCCTTACAAAACATACAAAGGGTCATTATCATTATTACATTATCCATTATACACGCCATCATCCTCACCCATTTGAACAGGATCTTCAGCTACTATCCTCTCAAGATTGGTGACCATGTTACAATAGGCGAAGGTTCCATTATTGAGGCAGCTACCATCGGTTCGCATGTCACGATAGGCAAGAACTGTGTTATTGTAAGTTCTTCAATTTCTATTTCTTTTTGTCCATGAGCTCACCTACCTATTATAAATTAGGGTCGATTTGCTATCATCAAAGACTGCTGCTGCATCACCGATAATACGGTTATACCCCCCAATACTGTCGTTCCTTCTTTCTCGATTTTCACTGGTAGCCCAGGTAAGGTGGCAAGCTTTATTATGAATTTGTGGGAGAGTTCGTTGTAACCCGGTACTAGGCACTTATCAGGGAGAGTTACCCGAATGCACTCAGGAATTGTACGAGTCGCAGACAAAGGACTATTATGCAAAATTCCAAGCCAAAGATTAAAAAAATCAAAGGAAGAAAACTTGCGGATATAGAGACGGGGATGCATGCCCAAAACATGCCGAAAGCCAACGGATGATTACGCCACATGCATTGGTGTACAAGTGTAAATGTTTGTTGTAAATCGAAATGGGTAAGTCTGGGTGTGCGTGTGTGTGCGTGTGTGTGTATGAAGCGGTCGATAAAGAAGGAAAGAAAGGAGCAATATCGGGGGCATTTTGCATGGGGGGCGCAAGCGCGTCAATATTGGCCAAGACATGTACGGGGTCAAGACAAACCCTGATGAGACTGAACTGTATGAACTGGACTGGATTTGCTCCCTTCTTTCCACGCTTTCCCGTATCTCCTTGTCTTACTAGTCCCTCGCTTATCTCGTTTTCTTTTCTTTTTTCTTCCTTGCTTCCTTTCAGACTGCCTCATCTCTTGCTCGTCTGCCTTCCCTCCATTGTAAAAGTAATTCCGAAAAGGAAAAAAAGAAAACGCTTTATCTTCTTCTTTGCATCGCGTCGTGTTGTCTGACTTGGTGATTTGTCCAAGTAGAGTTGGATGCTTTATGCACCCAATGGTAGATCCTGCACATCACCATGGGCACATAACACCCGCTACACCCAGCCCCAACCCAGTTGGTCCCCATAGTAATAATGGCGCTGTTAACGACTATTGCCACTGCGACTCTGCATACTCTTGTTGTCACTATTACAGCGAGTATATTTGCTACAATAACTGCAACATGCCTTCTTGCTGTCCCACCGAACACAATCCATCCTATCTGTCCATCGCTTCTTCTACCTGCATGGACACTAATGTATCCCTATGCTGCTCTTTATGCTGCTATCCCACCATCGAAAACGATTATTGCGAATCATGTATTTGTTCCTTATGCGAAGACGCCCTCTCCTTGTCCACCGACGATTCAGGTTCCGTCACTGTGCGAAATGTCACGGGTCATGCCAAACAAGAATTGCGCAGGAAACACGCCGTCGAAGAACTTTTGCAAACCGAGCGCGACTATGTCAAGGACCTAGGATACCTCGTCGAGGTAGTGTATCTGGAGCATAAATACGATGAAAAAAAAATAATCATCCATTATTGATTTATTTTATTGCCTACAGGTATTTTTTGCCATTCTAGCCGCCCAAGATTGGGTTTTGGACGAGCACATGGCTACCATATCGCGCAACGCCGACGAACTTCTCGCTTTTCACCGTCAATTTCTACAGAGCCTTGAAGACGCCGTTGCGACGGATCCAGACAGCAATTGTTTGTCCATTGCTGAAGCATTTCTGGATTTGGTATGATTCATGTGTTGTTAGCAAAGGGAAGAATGGAACCAATTTTTTTTTTTTTTTTTTTTTTTTTTTTGCAGGGTGCCGATTTTATGCTGTATCTGCCCTACTGTGATCTACACGGAGAAGCATGGGCGCTATGCGAGAAATACCGCGACCGACCTGAATGGTCCGCATTTACTAAGGAGTGCTCGACGCTCATCACGAAACGTCGCGCGACCTCCTCCACGATCAACACCAGTTCGACTCTTGATAATACACCATCCTCTCCTTCTCCTTTTACATCTAGTGTACAACGTCTGCAGTTTGAAGACTATCTCATTAAGGTCAGTCATTATCCCGTGCGCGAGGAATCCGACAAACCGCCAGTCGTGATAGATGTTAGCATTATAATCATGCATAGCGGTTGAGACGGGGCTTTCTGTTTGTCTCCATGTATGCTCACACGATTCGTGCTATCCCGCTTTCAGCCAGTCCAACGTGTTTGCCGATACGAGCTGCTCCTGCGCGAGATACTGCGTTATACCGACTCCGATACCCAAGGTACATCGGAGCTGACGGCCGCTCTCGATCTGATGCGTAGCGTGGTTTCCGAAATCGATACTGTCAAATATGAACGCGATATCAAGGAACGCACCGATCGATTCGTCCAACGTCTCGACGGCGACTGGCGGATCAAGCGTGACCTTGTCGCGAATCTCGGAGATCTCGTCATTGGCGGAGCGCTTGATGTCACTTATACCTACCTCGGCCAGAACATGACCAAGCCAAGATACCTCGGATGTTTCGTTTTTCCATCGTATATGATACTCGTACGGCCAAAAAAGGTCACTGTCTATGAGCCCAAGCACTGGTTTCCTCTGAGACAGGCCGAGCTCCATGAG